CACTACACTCTACTATGCAACCTTCATTATGGACTCTTGTCATGACCATAATACCCAATCATATATCACTTTTAAACTGTTCTCTCCCTCATTTGTTTCAATGCAGTATACATCATTTATCCAATTTTACATTTTTACTAATAATTTGCTGGTATGGTAATACTAGGATTTTTTGCATTCTAAAAAATATAACAATTCTATATTTTTTACCCTTCAGTGAAATTAATTGTATCGATAATGTACTCACTGCCAATATTCTTTGTCATATTTTCTATCACTGTAAAGAGAAAGTCATTAATAGCTAAACAAATACAACCCCCACTCAGATTTTATTTTCTGATGCAAAAAGTTAAAATATTAATTAATGGTAACATTTATATTTGACTTAGTCTTTTTATTTAATTTTACACTCCATCTTGTATTATCTTACAAATAAAGCTTGTAGGGGTAGAGTCACTTTGAGTATGGTGAGTTTGTGATAATGACTGAGGATATTCTCTTAATGATTTTTATGACTAAAAAGTCTCTAGAGAGATATATTTCTTACCTTTTATTATCTTTCATTTGACTCTTTAATTAGTAAAGAGTTGTTATGGCAGTTATTATATATACATGAAGTCGGAACGAATTCACAACTGACCTTCCAGCGGGTTTTCAGACTGCCGGTCCTTCTCCGTGGGGCAGCTAATGGATTCATACAGGAGGGCTGGCGGCCCTGCTTCTTACCACAAGCCCACCATAGCTCTCCTTTTAGCTTAGTAGTGATTAGGTTGATATCCAGCACATCATGTATCTTTGATTTTCTCCTTTTTCTTAATAACCTTTCTTTTTATTGTTGATTTGTATGTTCTAGCTGGTCATCATAAAGATGAAAAGTAGCTGAAACATACCTGCTTTTATTCTCTTTTTTAATTAAAAGGGGAGAATTTTGAAACTTTTAAAAACATTGAACTTTTGGATTTAAAGTGGTTTATCTTCATCCATCTTCTCCCTCTGCTTTCCCAAGATTGATTTATCCAGAACTAACATTATTTTACAAACCCTCTCATTGCCATCAAGTTAGAACCGACTCATGGCTGACCCTCTAGCAGATTTTCAGGCGGAGTAAATCACGCCAGGGAGATTGCCCATCTTTCTCTTGCAGAACAGCTGGTTGGTTTGAACAACATGGGTTGGTAACATGTCTGCTTACTCCTGAGCCGCACATCTCAAACCCGGTAGGCTAACTACACGTTGCTGTTGTTGTTGTGTACCATCAAGGTGGAACTAACCCATAGCTGAGCCTCTGGCAGGTTTTCAGAGTCAGTTAATCGCCCAGGAGGAAACTGTCCATCCTTCTCCCATGGAGTGGCTGATGTGGCTTTGAACTGCGTGCCTTCGGGACTGCAATGCAGCTTCTTGCCAATAGACCAAATGTCAGTTCCCTGACATTTGATAATTCTTGAGTTAGTATAACAAGTTGTTGACGTTTCCTCTAAATTGAAGATATTTGTTCCTTGTCAAACATCTCATTGCCAAAGGGATTTTCCTAGTCTGTGGGTTCGCTTTTTACTGTTGGAGGAATCATTTCATGGACATAAGGGTTTAATCTTTGGGAGGTCCCTTCATGCTTAGATTAGAAGAGCTCTCATGGCCTAATGGATAGGGAATGGCGCTGCTAACTGAAAGGCCATCAGTTTTAATCCTCTAGCTCTCTTTGAGAGGAAGATGAATATTCTCTTCCTCTGTGACTAATAGCCCCTGAAAACTCCCTGGAGGCTCACCTATGAGGTGAGTTTGAGTTATGCTCCCTGACTTGTCTAAAGGTGGATGGGTTTACTTCTGAGTTCACAATTCTATCCCATTGACCTATATATCTGCCACTGTTAACAGTACCACACGGTTTTGAATACTGGACTGTGTGGTAGTTTTGAGATCAGTACATACAAGGCTTCTTACTTTGTTTTCCTCAGTAGAGCTTTGCTTAGCTTGGTCTTTTCCTTTCCAAGTAAAGTTGACGATTATTTTTTTCCATCTTATTGAAGAATGACGACGTGATTTGGACCAGTACTGCACTGCATCTGCAAATCACTTTTGATAGTATTGTCATTTTCAGGATGGTACATCTTCCAATCCATGAGCATGGAAAGCTAGACTTTAAAGGATGTCTCTCCACAGTGAGGCAACATATGAGGTGTCTGTTAACAGTTTCCTGACAGCAGTATGAACTGTGGGTTATAATGTGTAGGTAATGACAGAAAAAAGTCACAGCTGTTCTTAGGTCTTTCTATCAAATTGAGAAACTGAGCCAAGGGAGGATGTTAGTGGACATCGAAATTGTGGAGATAAAGTGTAAAAGCCACTGATGTTAGTTTAAGATTTTTCTGAGCTGGGAGGTATTCTTTTCAATAATTGTCCCTGAGCAGCACGAATGTTTTGCCCCCACTCCCTCACTACTAACCTGAAAGGAGAGCTATGGGGCCTCGTGGTAAGGATCAGGGCTACCAGCAGAGGGCAGCTGTATGAATCCATCAGATGCTCCGCGGGTGAAGGGTGGGCAGTCTGAAAACCCGCCGGAAGGTCAGTTGTGAATCCATTCTGACTTCATGTACATAATAACTGCCATAACAACTAACCTAAAAGGATTACCGGTATAGCATATTATGTACTGACTACCAATGCAAAAGTTGCCAGTTCAAATCCGCCAGTAGCTCCTCAGGAGAAAGAGGAAGCAGTCTGCTCCTATAATGATTTTCAAGCTTGGAAACCCAATGAAAGGTCACCATAAGTCGTTCTCTACTTGACGGTAGTAGATTGAGTTCGCTAATCTGAAAATTGGCAGTTCAAAGCCACCCAGTGTTCAAACTCACTCGGTGAAAGATAGAATTGATGATCTGTTTCCTCTTATCTGTTGTTATTAGATTGTTATTGTTGTTATGTTGTTATGTGCCATCGAGTCGCTTGCGACTCATAGCGACCCTTTGCACAACAGCCCTAAACTCTGTTCTGTCCTGTGCCACCGTCTCCGACACACTTATCCGGATTACCCCAGTCACCGAATCAATCCACCTCATAGGGGGGCCTTCCCCTCCTGCGCCTGCCCTCCACCCTCCCCAGCATGATGCCCTTCTCCAAAGACCGGTCTTTCCTTACCTGATGTCCAAAGTATGTTAGAAAGAGCCTCAGAATCCTTGTCTCCAAGGAGCAGCCCAGTTTAACCCTCTCAGGGATGAATCTCTTTGTTTTCTTAGCAGTCCATGGTATTCTCAGTACTCTTCTCCAACACCAAGCTCAAAGGCATCAATTCTCCTTCTATCCTCCCCAGTTGTTGTCCAACTCTCTGACACATAACAAGTGATTGCAAAGACCATGGCCTGTATCAGACGCACCTTAGTCTCCAGAGAGACACAGTTGCTCTTGAGTACTTTAGGGAGGTCCCTAACAGCAGACTTTCCCATCTCAATATGTCTTAATTTCCTGGCTGCTGGTGCCAAGAGTATTGATTGTGGAGCCAAGCAGACCAAAACTGTGAACAATCTCAATCTCTTCACAGTCCATCCTGATGCTGCTAATTGGTCCAGTGGTGAGAATCTTTGTCTTCTTGACATTGAGCCTCAATCCATATTGAAGGCTGCAGTCCTTGACCCTCTGCAGCAAGCGCTTCAGATCCTCCTCAGTTTCAGCAAGCAGAGTTGTGCCATCTGCATAACGCAGAGTGTTGATAGATCTTCCACCAATCCTAATGCCGCATTTCTCCTCATAGAGCCCAGCCTTTTGAATAATCTGTTCTGCATACAGGTTGAAAAGGTATGGAGACAGGACACATTCTGCCATACGCCCTTCCCAGTTTTGAACCATGCAGTGTTGCCTTGCTCTGTTCTGACGAGTGCCTCTTGGTTCAAGTATAGGTTTCTCATTAGCACGATCAAGTGTTCTGGGATTCTCATTCTTCTCAGAGTCAGCCACAGTTTGTTATGGTTCACACAGTCAAACGCCTTTGCATAATCAATGAAGCACAGATAGACATTCCTCTGGTACTCCCTGCTTTCAGCCAAGATCCATCTAACATCAGCTACACTATCCCTGGTACCACGACCCCTTCTACACCCAGCCTGGACTTCTGGCAGTTCTCTACTGATGTGCTGTTCTAGTCATTTTTGGATAAACTTCAGCAGAATCTTGCTTGCATGTGAAATCAACGATATTGTTCCATAGTTTCCACACTGCTGGGTCACCTATCTTTGGAATGGGAACAAATATAGATTTCTTTCAGTCAGTTGGCCAAGTCATTGTTCTCCAGATTTCTTGGCACAACTTGGTGAGCACTTCCAGGGCAGTTGTTGGCTGAAATATGTCAGATCGATTACATCTGGGGAAAGAACCTCTGGAGAAGGTCAATATCAGGTGTGAAAACTAGGCTAGGAGCTGATTGTGGAACGGACAGACCACCAACTACTCATATGTAAGTTCAAGCTGAAGCTGAGAAAAATTAAACCAAATCCACGGGAACCAAAATATGACTTTGAGTCTATCCCACCCGAATTTCAGAACCATCTCAGTAACAGTTTGAGGTTGAGTTGTGGGAGGATATCAAGGGTATCATGCAGGAAGAGTGCAGATGTTCATTACAAAGACAGAAGAGGAAGAAAAGACCAAAATGGATGTCAGAAGAAACTCTGAAGATTGCACTGGAGCACAGAGAAGCCAAAGCACAAGGAAAAATTCAAGATACTAAAGAGCTGAATAGAAGATTTCAAAAGGCAGCACGGGATGACAAAGTAAAGTATTACAATGAAATGTGCAAGGAGCTGGAGTCAGAAAACCAAAAGGGCCGAACTCGCTCAGCAATTCTTAAGCTCAAGAAACTGAAGAACAAATTCAAACCTGGAGTTGCTATAATCAAGGGTGCTTTAGGCAGAATATTAAATGATCCAGGAAGTATTAAAAGAAGATGGAAAGAATATACTGCTTCATTGTATCAAAAGGAATTGGCAGACACAGAAGAAGTTAATGAAACAACATATGAGCAAGAACCTGTGGTGATGAGGGAAGAAGTTCAAGCTGCTTTGAGGGAAATAGCAAAAAATAAGGCCCCAGGAATAGATGGTATACCAATTGATATTGTTATTAGATAGATTCCAATTTATACAATCTAAATGGAATAAAATAGTCAGATCTTTCTTTCCTGGTACTGCCGGGTAGATTTGAACCATCAGCCTTTAGGTTACTAGTTTGAATGCAAACCATATATGCCATGTTATCTATATATAGCCCATTTCTTTTTTTATACTACATAGGATCACCATTACTCAGAATGAATAGGCCACATCAGTTTTTTTAGGGATATAAAATAATTTCAAATGTATTAAAATCCTTCTGCTATATAGACTTTAATTCCTTGGCTATCTTTTTTTGGGGTTTTTTTTCACTTGTTGTATGCTGTCAAATTTGATCCAACTTGCACAAGAGGGGATTGCCCCTCCTTCTCCAGTGAGCATATGGTGGATTCGAACTGTGCACCTTCAGTATTGCAGTACAGCTTCTTTATCTTCTGATTTCTTAATGAACATTTCTTGAGTTTGTTTGTTTCTTTGTTTCAAGAACAACAATCTCCCCACTGGACTAATAGCATCATATTAGATGGAGAAAGATTGAAATTGTCAACTACTTCATCTTACTTGAATCCACATTCAACACACCTGATACCAGCAGTCAGGAGATCAGGAGGCGTATTGGCGTTGGGAAAGTCTGTGGTCAGGGACCTCTCCAAATTACTGAGGAGCAATGATATCATTTTGAGGAGTAAGATGTACCTGATTTTTTTAAAATTTTTATCTTTCTGCAGAAAACTTTCTTGATACCATCCAGATATTTTTTTGTTTCTTTTTATGTCTCCAGAAATCAAACACCACTGCATTGAGTTGGAATTCAATTCATGTGCCACCATATTTCTGTCTTCGAAAAGAATGAAAGCCTTTTAAAAAGTTCTATTTAATCTTTTTCCTATTCTGAGTTAGTTTTCAGCTCAGAAATTGGTTTAGTTACTGTACTAAAAGGAATAATGATCTGACATACATGTTAGATCAAGTAGTGAACAAAGACTAAAACTTCTTTGCTCTTTTTCTTTTTTCTTAATTTGTATATAAGTAATAAAATACATCATTTTCATTTTAAAGGCATACTATGCATAATCAATATTGATACTAATTAGAATTGAAGTTCAGTTACACATAAATTATAAAACAAATAGTGAAGCTAGTGTTTCTATATTTTGAATATTTGAAGAGATTATTTAAATTGCTGGTATCTTAAACCATAAGTTCTTAGTCACTAGAGATAGTATATTGGATAAATTGGTTAATGATAATGTACTTGGAGAGATATTTAAGAATGTAGGCAGATAATCATAATTCCATTTTTTAAACAGTCAGATTTTCAGTAGACATAACATTTTAAAGATTTTGAAATATACTGTTAAGACTTATTAAATGCGTACTTACTATAGGTATGGTATGGTATGGTATAGTATGGTATGGTATGGTATGGTATGGAATGGTATGGTATGGTAAGGCTAGATCCTTAAATCTGTTGAAATTTACTTAAATAAAATCTACTGGCCAATATAATTTTATTCTTAGGGTTTTAAAAATCCTTTTCAAAAAGAGCAGAATTTTACTACCGCTTTTATAGGTGCTTATTTTTGGGAGATAACATTTACCTAATTTATATTAAAGAAAATATATGTAAATTATTGGTTCATTTGATATATCAAGTTGGAAGGTAAACATATACTATCTGATTAAAAAATCCAACAGCTTCTTGATTGTCAAGTGACAACTTTGAGTAATTTGTATTCATTAGAAGTTCAGATAAGTCCTTCCCTGTGCTGTCCTGAAGATAGTATGGTTCAAAACCCAAATAATGCAAGACTAATTTTCTATAGGAATAAACTAAACATAGTACCTGCCTTGTGCATTAAATTCCATTCTATCATCAGTAATATTTTATATTGTATTATATCAGATTTGCATAATTCAGAATTGTATAAAATAGAGCTGCAGTATAATTAAAACTAATACACATTAAATTGTATTTTTCTCTATAGAAGATACGCCTTCCAAAGAAACTGGCAAAACGCTATCCTGCATATGAATTGTATCTTTATGGAGAAGGATCTTATGCTGAAGAACACAAAATTCTGCCTTTGACAGGCATTCCAGTCCTCTTTCTTCCTGGTAATGCTGGAAGTTACAAGCAAGGTAAAACTTGGAAGTACACTTTGAAATCTGTTAATCTGTTCAATGATTTACTGAATACATGCATACTCTGTGTTAGGTAATATGTTAAGTTTGTTGAAGGTTACAAAGACATGACTTGGTTTTTCTGACAGAAAATTCATGTGAGAAGTCTTTGGAAAAGAAAAGTTGAAGACCATTTTGAAAAGAATGAGTAGGAAAAGAATAAATGGATAATATATGATTCAGGAATCAGTATTTTGTATATTGGAAGTGGGGTTACGGAGAAAAGAATCTGAAGTATTCGTTGTGTAAATTAATCAGGTTAAAAACTAGAAGATAGCCAGGTACTTGCACTGTCTACCTAAAGGCTTGCAATTCAAACCCACCAGCTATTCCACAGGAGAAAATTGGACAGTCTCCTCTCTTGTAATTAATTAACTGCCTCTGAAAACCACTGGAGGGTCAGCTGTGAGTCAATTCTGACTCGATTGTACACGACAGCAGTAAGAAGCGTTGGATGAAACTCCCTTAATGTGAATATACCGTAGGATTTTTATCCATTTGCCCATTGATGCACACTTGAGTTGTTTTTATCTCTTTTCTGTTTTAAATAATGCTGCTGTAAACATGGTGTGCATAAATCAGATTGTGTTACAGCTCCAATTTCTTTAAGAGGAATATCTCCTTGAAGGATTTGTGAATCAGATAGTATTTCCATTTTCAGCTTTTTAAAGGAAGTGCCAAAATGTCTTTCCATATTGGTTACACCAATTTGTATTCTCACCAGCAGTGTTTGAGAATTCCAGTGTAGCCACATCCTTGCCAGAATTTATTGTTTACAGACTTTCTAAATTTTGCCATTGTTTCTGAGATGAGATTGTATTTCATTATTGTTTTGATTTGCATCTCTAAAAGCTAATTCATTATGTGGCTGCACAGGAGAAAGATAGGTAATCTTTCCCATGTGTTATTTTTTCCCTTGTGTACTGTTGAAGCGGAACCACCTGACACAGGAGGAGATTGCCCCTCCTTCTCCAGTGGAGCATCTGGTGGATTTGACCTGCTCCTAAGTGATTTAGAGCTTCGGAAGCCCAGTAGAGGCTCAGCTGTGAGTTGGGTTTGACTAAATGCTTTTGAGTTGTTTGTTTTTGGGTGTTTTTTTTCTAAATAGCTAATGATTTTGAGCATTTCTTCATTGTTTGATGATAATTTGTTTATACACAAATAGAATTACTTTAGACCTTAGGAAGTCTTGCCTATAAACTAGAAAACTAGCCAAGAAAATCTCTTAGCTAGTTAACCGGGCACAGAAAGGAAGGGAGGAAAGAGTAAAAATTAATAAATAGAAGATAGAATTATGAATATGGATGAAGGGAAAGGCAATAAGGGTATGATCTGACCTTAATGAGCATTATAGCGAATGATATAAAGCAAAATATGTGTAAATTATTGAATTATAAACCAAGTTTCTTTGTAAACTTCACTCACATTACAACAAAAATTCACAAATGTTAAGGACAAAAAGTAGATTACTAGTGGCTGTACAATACACTGAAGGATACTACTCTTCTTGCTCCCACGAAGTAGCACATGGATTTGAACCACTTGCCTTTGGGCGGTCAGCACAACTTAATAGAGTAGGCTTCCAGAGCTCACTGGCACCCTGGGATACCCCATATGCCTCTTTGTGATTAGCACTCCCCTTGTTATCTAGAGACAATAACAATTTTAATTTCTTTAAGTAGTAATTTTCTTGACTGTCTTTTAGCACCCACATATCTACTCTGACTGAGTTATTTGGGTCCATTCTAAAACTTGTCTATATATAATCATTTAGTACATATGCTTTTGTGTCTGGCTTTTTCCTTTGAACATTGTTTTTCAGATTCATCTGTGTTCACTGTGTGAGCTATAATTAACTTTCATCATTCTGTATCTTTCTATTGTATAGGTATACCAAAATTGTTCCATTTTACTGTCTTTAAATACTTAGGTTGGTTACAGTTTTTAGGACTTAACAAATAGATATTCTTCTGCCTGTATCTTAGAGCATGTAAGCCCACATTCCTTTAAAAGAAATACTTTGTTAGAATTCCATTTCACAAGTTAGATGAAACCTTTAAATTTTATTGTCTGTTTCACTTTATATTCCCACAAGCGTTATTTTATATATTATATACATTACTACATAATTGTTGCTAGGTGCTATCTATTGAGTCGAGTTTGGCTCATAATGACACTATGCGTAGCAGGCCTGAACCGTGTTCTGTCCTCATCATCTCTGACACACTTGAGCCCAGTGCTGCAAAGACTGTGTCAGTGCGTCTTGTTGGGAGGCCTTCCTCTCTTTCCCTGACCCTCTGCCTTCCCAAGCATAATGGACTCTCCCAGGACCTAGTGGCAAGAAGCTGCACTGCAATCCTGGAGGCACGTGATTCGATTCCCCACCAGCTGCTCCACAGGAGAAGGATGGGCAGTCTCCTCCCGTGTGATTAACTGCCTCTGAAAATCCCCCACAGGGTCAGCTGTGGGTTGGTTCTGACTCTGTGTTACACAATGAAAACAATAACATTTCCGAAGTATTTTAGACGAAGCTTTATCATCCTTGCCTCCAAGAAGCACTTTGGCTGTACTGTCTCCAAGACATACCTGTTGATTCTTTTGGCAGTCCATGAGATATTCAGTACTCTCTTCCAACATCACAACTCAAAGGCATTAATTCTTTTGTCTTCCTTATTCATTGTCCAGCTCTCAGATGTGTAACAAATGATTGAAAAGATCATGGCCAAACATGATAGCTCCCACCATCTAGTGTTATCATATGACCCAGTAATTCCACTTTTATGTGGTAAATCACTTGCCACCAAGTCATTTCAACTCATAGCAACCCTCCGTTTGGTTTCTGAGGCTGTGTATCTTGATGAGAAGAGATTGCCCATCCTCTGTGTAGAGACTCATGAATTTGAATCTTCTGGTCTGCAGTAACCAGACAGGCTACCTGCTTCACCACCTTGATTGTTGTAGTTTTTATTATGTGCCATCAAGACGGAACTGACTCACAGCTAACCCTCCAGCAGGTTTTTAGAGGTTGTAAATCACTTGGAGGAGGTAGCCTTTCTCCCTTGTGGCAGCTGGTGGATTCAAGCTGCTTGCTTTGGGTTGGAAGTGCATACTCCTTGCCCCTTGGCCACCAGAGCTCCCTACCACCCAGATAGTAGAAATAATGAAAATACATGTTTATACAAAATTTGTTTGCAAATGTTTGGCCAAAAAGTTAGAACATTTCATGTATCTATATGTGCTGGTAAATGAATAAGTAAAATGTGATATATCCATTCAATGGAATATTTATTATTCACTGGTGAAGAGAAATGGAATACAGATAAATGCTTTAACATGTGTGAACCTTGAAAATATGTTGCTTGGTGAGAGAACTAGTCACAAAAGGTCACATATTGTATATGTGATGATTCCATTTACATAAACACCTAGAACAAATAAAGACAGAAAGATTTGTAGTTACCAGAACTTATACATAGTCAGGAATGACTGCTAATGAGTCTAGGGTTTCTCTTTTTTTGGGGAAAGGTACCTAAAATTGGGTTGGACAACTTTGAGTATACTGAAAACCATTGAATTTATTGGTTACTGAGTGATTAGTGTAAAATGTGAATTAATAGTATCTGAGTGGTATATATTAAAAATATTTAGGATACCCTTAAACATGTGCAAGATATACAATTGCTATGTTAGTTTGTTCTTCTAAATTGATAGCATTAATACTGTAACTTTGAAATATGTTATTAATACTTAAGAGTGTGAAAGCAAGTTTTTATTGAGAGATCATATAACCAGAATAAAAGAAACATTTTATTCAATGTTTACATCACTCTTTTCCTCTGCAGTTCGTTCTCTTGGCTCTATAGCACTTCGAAAAGCAGAAGACATTGACTTCAAGTACCACTTTGACTTCTTTAGTGTAAACTTCAATGAAGAACTGGTGGCGTTATACGGTGGAAGTCTTCAGAAGCAGACCAAGTTTGTACATGAATGCATTAAAACAATTCTGAAGCTCTACAAGGTAAAAGATCAGCATGCAAATCAATACTATTGCAATCTAACAAGAGGGTTTATTAAAGGGAATCCGTTTATTTTAAATTTTGTGTTTATATGGACACTGAAGCTAAAGATGGGAGACTGCTTTGTGTATGGGTAAATGAGAGTCTGTTGTTTTAAAGTCCATGCCAGTGGCAATTTATATTTAATTTAGGAGGAAAAGTTATGAGAATTTAGGAAGAGATAAAGTTTTAAGTCAATATATACTTTCAGCCAAAATGACGACTTAGTAAGAAATGTCATGCCATCCTTCTACAGCAAAGACTCAAGAAACTGAGAGAAGCAGATACGAAACACAGTCTTCCAGCCCTGAGCATCAAGTAAAAGATAAAGAACTAGGCCAGACACTGACTGGTAGGAGAAACTCACTGAAAACAGCAAATGAAAAGAAGTAGAGCAGAGGACCCATGAGCATGTCCTTCTTGAGAGAAAGACAGAGCAAGCCTGAGCTTAGAGCCATGGAATTACAAACACGTTAGAATAACTTCTTGTGTCAGCATAGCTGCATGAAATAAGGGTCCAGCTGCAGGCAGGAGAAGGATGGGCAGTCTGCTCGTGCGATTTACTGAAAAACCCATGGAGGGTCAGCTCTGGGTTGGTTCTGACGTGTAGGCACACAACAACCAAAGGAAAGAACTTGGGGATCCTAACCTAGTGACCAGAGAAGCACATTACCTTTCCCTACCATCCTAGGGATTAACTGTACAAACTCCCCTTTCCTCCCCTCCTTTCATCTCTGCAACCCCAGCTACCAGAGACCAAGAAAGGAAATAGACTGAGCTGCTTTCTTTCCCCCTACACAGCTCTACTACAGTCTTCCCCCATTTGCTGCCTCTCCCCATACCTGTGATCCCAACAGGTGACAGCAAGCATTGTAGGCATGGAGCCAGCTCCTGGCTCTTCCCTCCTACTCATCATAGTTGAATGGCAACTGACTGCTTCAGATGACATTGTTGACTTACTCTATCCAGCATGCCTGCTGACTGAGAAAACCTTCCACAAGTCCTCACACTCACTGAGAGGGAAGAAACTATAACCTCCTGTCCACTTGCCTTCAGCTCCGTCCCCTTTAACTACTGCACACCACTCACCCAGCAGAGGGCCGGAATGTCCACTACTTATATCCTCCCCTACCTATCCAAGAGGTGGGGCGGTACATTCAAGCATGCACTTGCCACCACTCAGCCAGCCCACTGGGCAAAAGGGAGCAGCCACACCCTCATGAGCTACCAGCAGCAGTGATACTTGTTGCCCCCCCCACTCAGCAACTACCAGCTGCCATGCTGTTTGGCCAGTGACTACAAACATAACCTGCTTGACTGGCCCTCAGTAACCACCTATCAGTAAACATAGAGCCGTGTTGCTACCCCGCCCACATAGACAGATGGCAAGTGTGTTCAGAATACTTACCAGAATAGCAGACTGCCCATACCAGCCTAAATACATCAAAATAAAACTTGTCCAAAAAAAAAATATCAGGACACAAACAAGTATTCATTAATAAATAAAAAAATAACACTAATGCCTCAGAACCAATAGACAGTATCAGAGCACTTAGAGAAGCAGGGCAGAATGACTCCAAGTGACCAAAATATAGAACCAGGAAACTTATTAGCAAGAGATCTGAGAAAAGCAGATAAAACTAAAGAGGAGTTTAGGAAAACGGCATAAGAGCAAAATCACAAAATAAATAGGCAGTAAGAAACTATGCCGAAAGTAGCTAGAAATCCAGTGCTTTATTCCATAGTATTAACAAGTTTTCCTAATATGCATGGGGTGGGGGAAAACCAGGACACATCCTATCACTCACAAAATTGTGCTTCCAGATGTAGATTGAAATGTTCTTCTTGACTACAAATACAACACTATTCCTCTTCAATCTGTCATTCCTAGGATAATCATAAGATTATCTTAATTCAAAGTGGCCAATGATACTTAATAAGAATTAGTGACACTGGAGTGCAAAATACGGGAAATGAAGAAGCACTGGTAGCTGGAAAATAGAGACCTGGTGAAAGAAATGAAGCTGGTAATCGAATGATAGAATTTTGTACAATCAATGATTTATTCACTGCAAATACCTTTTTTTAAGAAAAAATTAAACACAACACAAATGGTGACTATGCACATGGACCTCACTTGATAGACTACACAGGAATCAGACGACATCTGTAGAAAGACTTGATAGAGGTACTTAATATCAAGGCTAGGATCTGTAAATCACAAGGAAAGAGATTGCCCATCTTTCTTCCATGGAGCCTTTGGTTTGGCAGAGCAACTCCTTTCTACTAGGCCACCAGTTGTTGTTATGTACCATCGAGCCGCTTGCAACTCATAGCGACCCTACGTACAATAGCCCTGAAACCTGTTCTATCCTGGGCCAACTTTATTGTCTCTGATGCACCCACCCTTATTACCCCAGTCACTGATTCAATCCATTTCATTGAATGTTTTCCTCTTTCTCTGTCCCTCAATCTTTCCAAGCATGATGTCCCTCTTCAAGGAATGTTTTCTCCTTGAAACATGCCCAAAGTATGTCATGCAAAGCCTCAGAATCCTTGCCCCCAAGGAGCAGCCTGCCTTCACTCTTCATAGGATGAACTTGTTTGTCCTCCTAGCAGTCCATGGTATATTCAATAATCTCCAGCACCACAGCTTTAAAGGCATTAATTCTCTTTCATCCCTAGTCATTGTCCAGCTTTCTGACTCATAGTAATTGCGAAGACTGTGGCTGGATCAGGCATGCCTTAGTCTCCAGACTGACATTATTGCTCTTCAGAACTCTGGAGAGGTCCCCAACAGCAGACTCTCCTAATGCAATTTGACTTTTGATTTCTTGGCTGCTGGTATTCCAAGAGTGTTGGTTGTAGAACCATGCAAACTAAAGCTGTTAACAGTCTCAGTCTTTTCACCCTCTATCATGATGCCACCAATTGGCCCAGTGGTCAGAATCTTTGTCTTCTTGATATTGAGCCTCAATCCGTATAGGAGGCTGCAGTCCTTGACCCTGTGCAGCAAGCGCTTCAGGTCCTCCTCAGTTTCAGCAAGCAGGGTTGTGTCATCAGCACAACACAGATTGTTGATTTGTCTTCTTCCAATCCTGATGCCACATTTCTTCTTATAGAGCCCAGCCTCCCAGATGATCTATTCTGAGTATAGATTGAAAAGATATGGAGATAAAGATCAAGGAAAACCATATTAATCTCTGACTAAATAAGCTCTTTAAGACAGAAGCCACTGTAAACTAGGAAAGGGGATGGGTGGAGCAGGGCACCTCTTGGCGCAGCTCAGTGGGTGGAGGGAACATGAGGTTATGATTAGGTGATTTTTCTTCCTTTATCCATCTCTTTTGTCCTTATGGGTCAGGGGTGTTACAGCCGGAGTGAAGGGAGCATTTGCATGGGATTCTTGGAGCTCACAGAATTCATTGAGGTTCTACTTTAAAGAACTTTCCAGCAGTCACAGGAAGAAGAAATGCTAACACCAGCTTTCATCTGAAGCAGCTATGAAAACAATAGCAGGCAGAATGAGGCTGGCATTGGGGTGGGGGTAAGACTGAAAAAAACTGGATGAAATATGTTTATGGCATTGAAGTCTATGGGGGAGAGAATAGTCTAAAA